TTAGACCACTCTAGGCGGCTTACAGTCAAGAGCAACAACATGAAAGCAAAACATAAAATCTTATTTTAGCAGTGTGATTAAGACAGGAATGAAATAGGCTTTATTTTTAAATGAACCTAAAAGATAGAAGTCATGGTCAATTAAATAATGTTCATGAGACTAATACTGTATTCAAACTGCATTATGCCAACTTTCAACTATACAGGACACTTCCATGGAAGATATTTCTATTCTGTTTATCACTTTTGTATTCTTACCTTCTTTCAAGAAGTTCAGCAATAGTACATGATACCATCTTATTTTATCTTCACAACAATCTTATGAATTATGGTTGGCTGAGGGAAGATTACCTTTCAAAAACATTCAGTAAATATCAAAGCTCTGCAAGGGACAGATCTCCCTAGCCCCAGCCAAACACTCTGTCTAGTAGATTAGTGGTCCCCAACCTTGGGCCTCCAGATGTTCTTGGATTTCAACTCCCAGAAATCCTGGCCAGCAGAGGTGGTGGTGAAGGCTTCTGGGAGTTGTAGTCCAAAAACATCTGGAGGCCCAGATGGGGGACACTGTAGTAGATGACACTGATTCTCAATGTTTTTGGAACATAAAATACTATGCTGGAATTGATCCTTCTCTACAGATGTTCTGAATAACCAATACATGGAGACATACGTAAATTAAATCCTGTTCAGACATTATTATTAGGGCATATCTCAACACATGATGTGAAGCAGGACCATATACTGTAGCTCCACAACATCACCTGTGCCATCCACATAGAGCACTAAGGAGTGTTAAGGAATGTAGCTGTGTGCACCGATGTCTCCAACACAAGCCAGAATCCTGGCCGGCCATTCACCCACACAAAGCCCTCCTCCACAAATGCTTGCACTTTAACATCTGGGGTACATAACCTCCTGAAGTCACAGCAGCAGGGCAATGTCATGCAGCCCCACATGAGCACTCAGGTGAGACCTTTCTCAATACCTACACAGAGAACGCTGGCATGGTAGAGTGGCTAAGGCTGCAATCTTCCATTAAATAACCCCAAGAGTAAGTTCTATTAACCTCTATGGAATTCTTTCTAAGTAGGTCTGTATAGAGCTGCATGGTAAGATACTAAGCTGTGAATCAGGCAGTCCCACACCTCTCTGTTCAAACTCGTTAAGAGTGTCAAGTTATACAGTGGCCTCCCAAGGCAAGACAGTAACAGAAAAGCTCAGTTTGAACATGAAAAAACGTGTATCATGGCACATCTGTCCTTGATACAGTACTAATCAACATTCCAGGTCTCAAGGAAAATGGAAAACAGAAATGCATGGCCAGCCTTACACTAACAAAGCTGGGGGATAATTACAGAAAGCCTACTTGGGACCAACAGAAACCAAAGTGGATAGATTTCCTAATGATTGGGAGATAGATGTTATAACCTTTTCATCAAAATCTGAATGGTACCACTGCAGCAGCATCGGCAAAGAAATCTAACCATTTAAGAAATAAAACATCAGAAAAATACATCCTTACTGGATTCTATCCTAGAATTTCTCTAACACACCCATGAATTTACAATGCTTCCTAGCTTAATTAGAAAGTAACAGATAGCCAACCACATTTAAAGCAAAGCAAACTAGATGCGTTCTTCCAGAAGGAGGCAGGCAACATGCAGCCCTCCAAATGTTGTCTGACGACAATTCCCATTGGCCAAAACCCAGCATAGCCAATAGTGAGCACTTACATGGCCCATGCATTCCAATCAAACTACAGTACAAGAGGGCAGCCTACAGTTAGGGTGCCTCCAACATTTTACTGGAGAATGCCAAGACATGTCTGGGAGCTGGATAGATAAAAAATAAATGATTTTTTTAAAAAATTCATTTAAATAATAATTGAAATGAAAAATCAATTTGCTTCTAAATTGACAAAAAACTGATTTTTTTAATTTAAATCAAATCCACCCATTGAGAGCACAGTTGGTGTTCAGCTAGACAACAAATGATAATTTTTTAAAAAAAGGTGGTCTAGAACAAGGGTGTGACATCGATATGTAGAAGTGATATGAAAAACTCCACAGAAAGGTCCTAAGGAAAAGGAAGATAGAAAAGTAGAGTTATTTGTCATGTGACATCAAGTTGGAACCAATTTATACAAACCATAACATGACTTTAAAAGTAACAGATATTTAAGGAGTGATTACACCATTTCTATCCTTCCTCTAGCAAGTTTCTGTGGCTGAGCAGGGATTACAAATCTGGCCTCCTGAGTCTTTGTCCCTCATTCTATCCACCACACCAGATTAAAAAACATCAAAGTATCTAATAAAACAGAAAACATAAAAGCAGTCAGACCTCTGCATTCAAGTAATGTGAGCGGTAATAAATTGACTACAATCAATTTGAACTAGGGACATCTGGCAGTTTCTCTTCACCTTAAGTGATCCCAAGATGAAAGGAAAAGGCATGTTGGTAAGCAAAATGGCAAGGGATATTCCTGTACATTAAAAAAAATCTACTATCCCTATGCAGCCAGGGTGCAACAAAGCAACAACATTTCTAGATATTTGTGTTGTTGTTGTTGTTGTTTTGGCCATTAAGATTTCAGCTTGGTGCTGAGTTAGCACACTTGCTGTTGTTGTTGTTGTTCTTTAGTCGTTAAGTCATGTCCGACTCTTTGTGACCCCATGGATCAGAGCACGCCAGGCCCTCCTGTCTTCCACTGCCTCCTGGAGTTGGATCAAATTCATGTTTGGTAGCTTCGATAACACTGTCCATCCATCTTGTTGCCTTCTTCTCTTGCCTTCACACTTTCCCCAAATCAGTGTCTTTTCCAGGGAGTCTTCTCTTCTCATGAGATGGCCAAAGTATTGGAGCCTCAGATTCAGGATCTGTCCTTCCAGTGAGCACCCAGGGTTGATTTCCTTCAGAATGGATAGATTTGTTCTCCTTGCAGTCCAGGGGACTCTCAAGAGTCTCCTCCAGCACCACAATTCAAAAGCATCAATTCTTCGGC